ACTCGTCCGAGCCTTGCTAATTCAGAGGGCCTAAAGTGACGCAGGCATATGCTAGTGGTAGCTTCGATTCTTGCCGGTTTCGCCTAGCTAGCTAGCTCAAGTTGTTAATGCACAAAACATGCTGCATATACATTGTGGATGCAAATAGTTAATTAAGAATATGTCTGAATGCCATTGTTGGCTAAAGATTAACTGATGGTCGTCATCTATTGTGCATGATGATTGGCGTCAATGTTTGCTAGCTTATTGGCAAGCAAGCATGCATGCATAATGAACTGCTGGTGATATCACAGAGCTAGATCGTGCATGGGTAGAGCCGATCGACGCTCCTGGCTGCTAAGCGTGGAGTCGAGAACAGCTTGCCGGTGGTTGCGTGTCCGATCGAGAGACAACACATCAGAGAGGTACGATGGAGATGCGCGTGTATATGTACATATACGTACCTGAGAGGTATAACGTCGAGAGCTCGACGCCGGCGACATACGGGGGACGACGCAGACGGGGCCTGATGGGGCACGAGCACGACAAAGAGTAGTCGTCGTCCTTGCCAGCAGAGAGCGCAGCGCCATGGCGCCGGGATCGGAGCGAGGGGAAGTAACGTACGAGGTATACACGGGCGGCCACGCCCGGTCGTCGATCGGCTAGGGTTATATTAATTTGGCTGCTTCTTTCTTGGCGCGAAAGGGACGTCTGCGTGCGTGCGTGCGTGCCTGCCTTGGTCTCTCTCGTATAGACTGCGCGACGGATCCGGAGTCCTCTTACAATTGCAACTACTCCCCCCGTCGCAAGATATAAGGTATCCTATAGAAATTTTAGCCAAAATCATTTTTTAAAGTTTTTAGGGTGCATTTGATTTGCACCCCCTACAAAAACTATACATTCGTCCCTCTATTTGCCCAAGCAACAAGGTGACAATACGCTGAAAACGCATGTGTTGCAAGTTTATGTTTCAAATGTTTCATCTATATGTTGCATGTGTGTTTATCTGAATGTTGTAAAAGTATATTGGAATGTTGCACATGTTACAATGGCTATACACATATGTTGCAAGTGCATGTTCCAAATATTTTAGCTGTTCTTCAAAAGCATGTTGCAAATATATGTTTTAGATGTTTCAGCTGTTTTAGATGTATGTTGCAAGTGTTTTATCTGAATGTTGCATATGTTGTAGTGGCTATACACATATGTTGCAAGCAGATGTTCCAAATGTTTCATCTGTTTTAGATGTATGTTGCATCAAGTCCTCCATGTTGCAAGTGTTTCATGAGGTGCGGAAAGTGGGCGCAGGCGGTCCCCATGGAGCGGCGTGGGCGAGCGAGCAGCAGAGGCGGCAGGCAGCACGCAGGCAGCGAGAGTGAGTGAGGAGCAGCGGCGAGCAGTGAGCCTGGGCAAGGTGAGCAGTGAGGCGCGCGCGCGGCGACGACGAGTAGGCGCAGATGAGCCCAGCCCGCCGGCGCGTCCGGACGCGGGCATCCGTCCAGACATCCGCACACTAGCCACGTCGTTCCCCGAAAGATGAAGACCTAGCCCAGGGTTAGAGTTCACAGACTTATTAGGGAGGTGTAAGGGTGTTCTAGCTATGATGGCTGGAGGCTTATAAAAATGTAGGGAAACATTATTAGGATTTAGGATTAGCGCGCATTGCAGACAACGAGGGAATTGGCCGAAGAAGTAGAAAGGGGTTGGGATTAGCGATGGTGGTGGAGGCGACGGTATATGCAGCGCTGGAGCCAACAAGAGGTGGTGGAGGCGGCGACGCACCGGCCGGAGACGGAGAAGCTAGCTTTCATTTAGCGAGGACAATGGCAGAGGGTGGCATTGGAGGCGGTGTGAGCGCCACCGAGCCGGGTGGGTGGGGCGGTGGCTAGGGGGCATAGGGACGAGGAATATAACAAAGAGAGAGAGGTGGGTGTCTGGGTGTGCGCCCACCCTTTATTAGTAGGGTCCAAATTAAGTTCTAAAACAAGTTATAGGGTAAAGCAAAAGGCATATATATATATGTAACTCTTTCTTAATCGTGAGGAGATAACGCGATTACCATATTTGGCCCCGTTTGGCTTGCTGAAACTTGGCTGAAAAATATTATTCTGGTTGAAATGTTGTGAGAGAAAAACACTGTTCCGGCTGAAAAAAGAAGCCGAACAAGCCGGATTTAAGGTAAGCCGAACGGGACCTTTGAGTTGATACTAGACATTAATGATAAGTATGTTTGTAAATGATGCTTAGATGATACATCATATTTTTGGAATGAGAGAGTAGGAATAATGCAATCCAATGTCTGCTAGGAACCCTAGGCTATTACTAAGAACTTCTCCGATTGAACATCCTAGCAAAGACATCCAATGTTCCAAGGATGACTAAATCAGATTTGACGCCCTGACACATGTACTCTTCATGCCATTTAGCTCCAACAAAAAAACCAATAAACCCAAAGCAAGAGTGAGTATTGCAAGACCACAAATATGACACACACAGCATTTTGACCGGGGCTCAAACATGTCCTATGGGCTCCTCCAATCTGTCCTACAAGACTGTCTCCAACAAGGGAGCCCTAAACACGACGCCCATTCCAGGTTTTGGGTTATGTATCGTATGTAACTCAGCCCTCTCCAACAAAAAAGTTGCCCCCATCCCGTCGGAGGACGACGTAGGTGAGGAAGCCTCGAGCTGCCTACCTTTAAACATCCAATGCGGAGGATGACCGCCCGGCCCTTTTGCCGCCGAGTTGCGGTCCCATTCGCTCCTCCCACCTCATCTCTCTCCACTATTTCTGACGCAGCCCTCTCTCTACCATGGCGATGATTCTCTTCGTTTCTGCAAAAGAGCAGGACTCTGCTAGCCTCACTGCTATTGCTTAAAACACGCTCTCGAGCAGTAGCTTGTGCTTTATGTCGGGTGAAGCGGAGGCTTTCGGAGATTTGCACAACCTAGAAAGGCACTTTGCGTATCGTTTGAGCTGGTACGCAAAACGGGTCATGTGTTTGGGTCATCCGTTGGAGAGTGTTTTTGGATAGACAAAGCATTGTGAGGGACATATTTTGGGTTTGGATCTCCCTGTTGGAGACAGTCTAAGGGCACACACGACCAACGAAGGCATACAGTATCGTATGTCTTGTTAAAAAGTTGTTGTCCATGTAGGTGAAGAAGGCTCGAAACCTTTAAACATCCAATGCAGGTCAATGCATCTTTTTTATTCAAACGATCCCACTACTCTCTCTACTATTTCTGATTCCCTCTCTCTACCATGGAGATTCTCTTCGTTTCTGCAAAAGAGCAGGACTCTGCTAGTTCACTGTATGCTTAAAACACGCTCTCGAGCAGTACCTTGTGCTTTTATGTCAGGTGAAGCCGTCGCTTTCTTTGCACAACCTACAAAGGCACTGCTTAAACAGATCTGGATCCTGGGACCTCGGCAGGCAGACCAACTCTGTCTGCGCTCCAGGCTGGGGAAAGTGAATGAATTCATTAATGAAATCCATTACAAGAAATTGTACACAATGGAACAGAGTTTCGTTAGAACAAAAAAAAATGAAGGAGTTTCAGAGTTGTGACAAAGACAGTTTCCACGGGATAAGTCCAGTCTCAATCGAGGATTTCATGAGAGTTTCATACACATTAAATAAGGTGACATATCATAAAAATAGAATCTTTACATGTTTTTGGGAGGAGAGAGAAGAGAAACGTTTCACGGAGACGAAACGAGCAGGCGTCGTTTCCCACAGCTTGGAAACCGCACGAAACCAGCACCGAGCCCGCTTCGTTTCATCACCGGATCAAGTACGCGCACATAGTCGCCATCTCTGTTTCCCTTCCCACCGGTCTCTCTTTCCTTCCCGCCGATTTCCTTCTCTCTTCCACAGAGCAGCACACGAGTCAATCTGGCCAAGTGGCCATGTCCGTCTCCTCGCATTCGGCGCACGCGAGTCCAATCTACAGGTTCTCTGCTCTCCTCCCCTCCGGGCTCCGGCCATGCTCCTCGGTCTCCAGATGGACGCTGCTTCGGCGGCGGCAGCGCAAAGCTCAGGCTGCGTGGCTCCAGCGGTGGAGGAAAAGGGCGCGGGGGCAGCTAATCGCAAGGCGACATCCTGGCATGTGCCGCCGCCGTTGCATGTGTATTAATCTAGCTGAATAATCGTTGCACACCTCCCTGAACTGAGGATCTCCATGATGTACGCTATATCGCTGAAGGGGATCTTTGCCTCAAATTTATCTATCTTGGTCATCCTATTTGCATTTTATCTTAGATGTGAAAACAGTCATATTAGTTGCTAAAATTTCTGAAGTGTTAAAGCTGTTTCTTATCTGAATTTGTTGGTGCGAGACTGATGCAAGAATTGTAGTAAGGCTACATATTTTGCTTGGCACACTTGATCACAACACAGTGCAAGAATTAAATGGTAAAGCTCGTCTATGAAACAGTGAAATGATCTGTGTATTGAGAGACCCAGTTCATTCCAAGTGTCACTTCTTGAAAACAGGACATGAAACCTGAGACGGGCCTAATAATCCACCAAACAGCCCCAGTCTGCCGACTGCCGTTAGTCGTCCTCTAGCTAGATGGGAGCACTGCTTGATGCCCCTTTGAAGTACTTTTTAACCCAAGTTCATCACAATTCATCCATGAGACTAACCCTTATGTACTAAAAGATAGAAAAGATATTGTTAGTCATTTATTAGGCATGTCGTGATACAACCACAAAGTTCGCATTACAAATTTACAACGATAGTGATCCTTACACACATGACTTGCTCTGTTCTGCAGCACTATTTCAGCAGTGTTTTTCAGCGAACGAACGGTGTTTTCTCTCAAACATTTCAGTATAAGCCAAATTTCAGCGAAACGAACAGGTTGCAATTCAGGTTCAGACCCCAGGCGGCAGGCACTCAAGTCAAGATACACTGACCAGACAGGAATATGCCACTGTAAAACATCACTAACTAGAAGGAAAATCGTGTGGTTAATTATGACTCACGACGGCAAACAAGTGGACAGAAGTGATTTACAGCTTCAAACTACCATGATGGCCCAACACAACATTTGTGGACCCAAAGCTACAATACCACATAAATTTTCATAAATTAAAATATTGTCATCAGTCTGGAACAAATAACAAAAACAGCTAACACCTTTCAAGCACCTCAAAAAACTGGTGTTTTGAACAACCTGACAAACCAATGAATAGGAACAAAGGTTAAACAGTATTCATTCATGACTTCTGTTATAATTATCCAGTACATACTGAGCACAGTGTCCTGAATTTTTACCTCCTACAGGAACAAAGTTGTGCTACTGTACATTTCCGAGAAGGAAGGAAAAAGAAACAAGAAGGATCTGCTGTCAGATATATCTCCAAATAATTTACTGCTCTCAAATAGCGCACTGCATACATTTCATCTTATTTCCTGACTAGTGTTGTTCAGTCCAACCTATCAGATGAAATCTCCGTAATGTCCTAGTGGTCTGACATAGAAATATGTTACTGTGCCCTTCAGAAGAAATGTGCAAGGAGCACTTTTCTTGGAATATCAGATTGGAGTGAAATCCAAGCTGCTCACAGGTGGACAGTGCATCAACTTTCTTCTGTTCCATTAGTCATGCTTTCAGATGATAGATCACAGTTTGGTCCAACAGTAATGCTGCTAGCCACATTCAGTTCATTGTTTCTGCTTCCAGAAACTGCATGGCCATTTTGTACAGGGTTCCTGTTACCTGCTGCACATTGGCTAGAAGGTGTTCCAGCATTCCTTTTACCTAGAATCTCTAGTTTTTTGGCCTTATGTTTTTTGCCTCCAATATGAGCGCCGAAATTGAACTCAGTGACACAATCAACCTTGCAAATTTTGCACCAAAAGGATGGCACCACATTTGGTCTGGGACACTGCAGAATCTGTGATGGAAGATGCGGAACTTTCACCTTTTTCTTTGAGGGATACCAATTTTGAGGCTGTTTCTGTCCAGTTACACAACTGAAACTAGACTGCTGTGGAGGTACACTGGTCTCAGGAGCTAAATTTCTCTTAATCACATCAGGTACTGATCCTGTACTGACATCCTGAAAATTGAAAGTATTTATTAGTTATGAAAAATGGGAACTTAGCATGAAGAATCCTACAAAAAAAAATCATAGGCCAAAATATCATGCTTCCAGACAACACAGATTTTGAGCACCTAATAAAACAGTGAATATAGCTACGACTGATAAGTATGTAATTTGTTTTCCATAATGGATAGGTTTTGGTTTCCAGAATTGTTCATAAAGGAATAAAATGGAAAATGTGTTTTTTTTTAATAAGTAAAGGCGACTATGTGTTGACAGAAAGGAGAAAAAAGGAGAACCAAACAAAGCTAGACCCTGGCTCTCCATGTCTAAACACTAATGAAAACTAAAATACATCCCTACCACAGGACCATTGGAACTCTAAACATCAAGGCTGTACCAACTCACTGTACTGTTGCAAGCTATTATAGGCTAGATTGCCACAACTGTGGAACTATGGAAGCTGAAGTATTCTGGTTATCTGAAGTAAAGATTTCTGAATCAGAAGCTGAACAGAACACTAAAGAAAAAACAACTGTATGCCAAAAGGAAAATGCATGGCCAGAACCATTTCATTCATGATTTTATGATATAGAAAGCCCTAAAGTGGAAAAAAAATGTCATTTGCAAAACCATCCTTGCATTCCAACTACTGAAGATTAAAGTCTTGTGTGTGTTATTCCAGAGAAAGAATAAAAACAAAATCTGAAAACAGTAAACAGGATAGTAACTTATGGAGCTAAAATGTTGATCCCAATTCCCAAAACTGATCACAACTTGAGCACTGTTAATGAGTTCCACGTAGTTTGAAGTGGCAATTCAGAACAAACAAACAGTAAATACAACGCGGGCATCTATCTGAAGCCATCACTGTGTGCGCCTACTTGCATCTGAAAAAAAAGGTGGGACTGAGCACTAACCGAGAGAACAAATGGCCCAGTTATGCAATCAGAAGCTGAACAGACACTAAAGAAAAAACAACTGTATGCCAAAAGAAAATGCATGGCCAGAACCATTTCATTCATGGTTTTCTGATGTAGAAAGCCCTAAAGTGGAAAAAAAATGTCATTTGCAAAACCATCCCTGCATTCCAACTACTGAAGATTCAAGCCTTGTGTGGCTTACTCCAGAGACACAACAAAAACAAAAATCTGGAAAGAACAAATGAGACAGTAACTTATGGAACTAAAATGTTGATACAAAATTGATCATAACTTAGGCACTGATAATGAGTTCCAGGTAATTTGAAGTGGCAATTCAGAACAAACAAACAAACAGTAAACACAGCGTGGGCATCTAACTGTGAAGCCATCACTGTCTGCGCCTACTTGCATCTGAAAAATAAAAACGTGGGACTGAGCACTAATTGAGAGAGCAAATGGCCCAGTTACGCCAATGTAAAATTCATCCACGGACCACATACCCCTAAATTCCTAGAAGCATGTTTGCTAACTGTAATGCTTAGTAGTAATGCAAAGTTTTTTTTTTTTGACACATAGTAATACAAAGTTCATCAAACCAGAAACCTTACTCTCTGCATTTCAGGGGCTCCACAAATTCCAACGAGCAGATGCGGGTGGGTCCTCTCCACCCACTTGCGGTACTCCATCTCCCTCCTCAGAGCCTCCTCGAAGGTGATGGTAGCACAAGCCGATGATGGTGCATTAGATCTCTGCATGCTTGAAGGCAGCAACTAACCACGCCTGCTCACAGGAACCAAGTGATCCTCAGCTATCAAATGGTCACCTATCGTAACTGAAGCATAGTTTTTCTTTAAAAAAAACGAAATTAGTAGGGACAATGGATTGTAATTCGATCAGATCCGAATACAACTGGGATAAGCTAGGGTTTGGGTGCTCGGTTTCGCACAGCAGGAAGGGAAGAGATGGGTTGAGCCTACCTGGTGGGTGCTCGTCGCCAGCGAAGGGCCCGACGGAGAGCAGGCACCGGCGGGCGGCGTCGGTTGCCCAGCCGTGCCGAGTCAACTGACAGAGAAGGGCGCGGGTGGATGGGCTGGGGGTTGGGTTGTCCCAAGTCCACTTTGCCTGTTTCTTCCGTTTTTTCGTCGAACCGTTTCTCCCAGGGTGATGAACCGACGATGATGAATTCGCAAATGCTGTGTCAGGATGTCCGTCCGGACGCCTGGCCTGCGGACGAGCGGTCCAGCCCCGCAGCGGTCCTTCCCGCGACTCCAATCCAGATATTTCAGCGGTCCGACTCTCCCATTCCGCGTTGTTCCGCTGCTTCAACACGTCTCTCCCGTTCTCCTCCGCCCTCCAGGCCTCCACGGCTCTGCCTCCCGGTCTCTGACCCGCACAGTGAACCTGAAATGACGCGCCACCTCCTTACTGCCCTCCACGGGCGTCGCTCCTGCTCCTGCCCGCCTCCGCCTAAACTCCACCTCGTCACCGCCCGACCACCACCGCGTACGACGAGCTCCGCCTCGGGGGCTTCCCGCGCGGCCTGCTCCCAGCCAACACGCGTGCCTACACGCTCGACGCCAGCTCCGGTGACTTCGCCGTCGACCTCCACTTCAGCTGCTGCATCGTGCTGCCCATACGATCGCCGCATTCAAGCCTCGATGGCATCCGCGTTAGGGACTTCTTCCGCTAGTGGTCCATCACGGGCACCGGCGACTTCCTTTCACTCCGTGACATCGAGCTCCTTGCCGGCGTCGAGCTCTACAACGATGAGCTACATTCGTCCAAGCAACAAGGTGACATTGCGTTGAAAGCGCATGTTGCAAGTGTATGTCTAAGTGTTTTAGTTGTTTCAGAGGTATGTTGCAAGAGTTTCGTATGATATTACAATGGTTGTACACTTATGTTACAAACTTTTTATTCCCAATGTTTCATCTGTTTTCTCAAACGTACGTGGCAAGTGTGTTTATCTGGATGTTGCATATGTTTTTCACACATATGTTGCAAGTATTTTATCTGGATGTTGTATATATGTTGCAATGGTTTTCAAGTGTTTTCATGTGTGTGTTTTGCAAGTGTTTCAGACGCAGGTTTCAAACGTTTCATCAGTCTTCGTACGTATGTTACAAGTGTTGTATCTAGATGTTGCATCTCTCTCCTCACCTTCTGCTGTCTCGCCTCAGTGTCTCCTCTTTCTTGATGCCGGTGATGTGTGATGTTTGGGCGGCATGGGCCCGCATGGGGGCGCGAGCACGTGGGTGGGGCGCGTGTCAGTTTGAGTGGCGTGGAACCCGAGCGAGCGGGACGACATGGAGCAGGCGCGGGGAGCAACGGAGGCGGGTGGCGTGGGTGGGGCACGAGTCTTTCAAGTGGCGCGGAACCCGAACGAGCAGGACGTGCGGCACAGAGCATGTGCGCGAGGCCCGGGGAGTAGTGTCTGGACACGGGCCTAAGGCCGTCCTGTTCACAAGGAAAACCGACGATGATGAGGGGATCTGTGGCTTGGGCCAAACTGGCGGGCCACCGCGGACGCGGCCCTTAGTGATCGGCAGCCCATACAACATGAGCCCGCCCCCGACCGCGGGCTCAAGTCTCCAACCACGAAGCGCGTCGAGTCGACGTGCACGCACGAAATGCACGAGCAGGTTTCCTCCGTTCGATCATCCGCTGAGACTGTCTCCAATAGTTGACTCATATGGGCATCCAAACCTAAAATGGGTAGCAGGAGATCTAAAATTAACCTCCAACAGAGTACCTATACGGGACACCCATTTTAGGTTGTCTGAGAAACACAACCCAAATATAAGTATCCTCTCTTCTGAAAACCCATTTATAGAAAGAATTTTCTTTTAAGTCCTGTTATTGGAGAGAATGTCGAACGGGTATTAAACCCCTTGACCGTGGCGCTACCCAATTCTTGTATTTTGGTGGTGTTGTCGGACATAGGCCCTGTTTGTTTCCGCTTATAAGTGGCTTATCGGTGGAAATAAGCGAGAATTCCGCCAAACGCTTTGCTTATTTCCATCGATTCTTGAATGTGAATGTCTAACGGCTATTAAACCCTTTGACCGTGGCGCTCCCCAATTCTTTGTATTTTGGTGGTGTTGTCGGACATAGTCTGACTTGACTCGTAGCAGCAGCGCGTCGACCAGACCAGAGTACAAGACCCAGCCGGGCTGGTGGTGGAGGAGGGCGGGATAGCAGACGAGAGGAGAGGAGGACGCGCACGCCATGTCAGGTTCGTCCGCCGCTTCCCCTGCATCCCTAGATCCCCCAATCCGCGCACAATTTCTCGATAGGACTGCTCGATTCGGCCCGAAACCTGTCGCCCGCGAAGAGTTCGAGCTGTTGTTGCCTTGGGGAGCTCGATTAGGGACCCGATTTCGCACACAGCCTGCGGGGAGAACGGTCGGGCTCCTTTCCCCTCTCTCCCGTGGTGGAGATTGTGGGTGGTTCCGGGGGGACGCGACCGTAGGGGTATGGATTTGTTGAGGAATCGCGCGGATTTGTTCCCAGCAGCGCTACTGGTTAATCTGCTGGCGGTGCTCGATCCGTTCTCTTCTGTTGCGCTTGCTTGCTGTAGCGTCCACGCGGCTCTGGCGCGGCACACCGCTGCTTGCTTGCTTCTTCCCTGGGAAATAAGCCAGCATCATGCAAATTGCGGTGCCGCTGAGGATCCTCTTGCCCGCATGGTTCATCCCCTCTTGGCCCTTTGGATTTCTATATAGTTCATGTTCAGCAGTGGCAGGATCTAGGCAATAAGCTATGCCAAATACGTTTAACCCCCTTCATAAATTTTACAACTTATATATGTTGAGTGTGCAATGATTGTGTTGTTTGACATGAAAATCAACAAGCTGGCCCCACAGGTTTCAAATCCTAGATCCGCCACTGGTGTTCAGAAGCGAACTCAGCTCCTTTTCTGTTACACAACGTGAGGAGCTATTGGTGCTCTCTTCCAACCAAATCAAAGTCTTGGCTTCAACATATTCACCATTCTTTTATGAGTCTTTTGCTCCTGTGTCTTGCATGGCAGTCAAGAACATTTTAGCTCCTGTGTGTGCATGCTTTGCTTTGCTGCTAAATCAATGGCTGTAAGCTTGTTATCCACAGTTTTGTTGGGGTATGCAGTACAGCAGCTGTGCTCGTTAGTGAGTTACTGAAACTGTTCTTGACATAACCCTTCATTTCTCTGAAAGGCAATGGATTCTGATGTTATTATTAACATGTAAATGCACTTTGCAGGTTCACCGCCAAAGCCTTGGGAGCGTTCTGGAGCTGAAGGAACATCTGGTCCAGCACCTTTCAAGCCCCCATCTGGTGGAAGCACCAGTGATGTTGTCGAAGCTTCTGGTACCGCTAAACCTGGCGAAAATGTTACTGCGACGGAGAGGAATGTCTCTTCCAATGTAAATAGCACTGTTTCGAGGCCTGTGCCACAGCGGCCTTGGCAGCAGACAGGCTATGGAAACACCTATGGAGGTATTCAACATTTTCAGAGCCACTTATTTCGTGATTGTGGTTGTCTTAGGAACACAATTTCAGTCTCTGACTGACATTTGCAATTTGCCTTCTGGGTGCAGGATATGGTGGATCCAACATGTATGGTGGATTCGGCAACACTTACGGTAGCGGCGGGCTCTATGGGAATAGCATGTACTCGAGTTACGGAGGAGGTTATGGCGGTGGCATGTATGGTGGTGGGATGCATGGAGGAGGGATGTATGGTGGGATGGGAGGTTATGGTGGTTACGGCATGGGTGGAATGGGTGGCATGGGTGGCATGGGCATGGGTCCATACGGTAATCAGGATCCAAATTCAATGGGCCCTCCTGCATCCCCGCCAGGTTTCTGGGTGTCCTTCCTACGAGTGGTAAGATACTTTTTACCACATATCATGGCATTAATTGTTATTTGGAATTGTTATACTGATTTGGTGCATGTTAAAGTATGTTACAGCAGTTGAAAATACCCATTCACCTGATCCAATGACCTCACTTTTATTTCCAGAAGGACCCAAGCATGCCAATTTTAAATTTATACCTTGTGAATCCAAAATATCCTCTTCTATTTACCATGAAACCCTGACTGTTATAAATTCTGAGAGGAGCAGATTTACTTCTAGCTTTATCTACATGGGTCTCTTAGGTTATTTCCACCAATACTTATCATTTATATGCACTGTTTAGTTCATTGTTCTGATCTGTGTGCTTTAATATGCTCATATCATACTGGCTGTATTTAGTAGTTTTATTAGTTAAAGTATTTGTTTTCATCTTTGCAATATGCAACAGTAATTAAGCTTCTTTTTTGCATTGAGTCATGCTTAATCTTAACACCTTAAAATGGCTTGAATGGCTGCAGATGCATGGTGTTGTCAATTTCTTTGGGCGAATCTCATTCCTTGTTGAACAGAACACTCAAGCATCCTATTTTTTCATGACAGCAATGCTACAGGTATTTTTTTTTCTTATTACATGTATTTTTTGCTGCCAGTATTCGAATCAAATAGGTCACTCATCTTCATACTAAAATTGTTGGCATCATGGTGTTGGCCAGCTCTTCGATCGGTCTGGTATGCTCTACGGCGAACTTGCACGGTTTGTGTTGCGTTTGCTAGGAGTCAAAAGAAAGCCAAAGAAGGGCAGTCTTCAGGGACCACAAGCGCAGGCATTCGAGGGACCTAGCCAACAGTTCATCGAGGCACCAAAAGCAAACAACTGGGACAACGTCTGGGGAAACTAAGATGCCTACGAGTGGAATGAGTTCTATCATATAGAAACATAAAGTTTAAGGAGCAAGGGCTATGGGAGTTTTGCCTGCCTTTTGGATCATCAGAAAGAAGAGTGCGGTCAGATATCCTTTTGTGGCAACTAGGGGGAGTTCTGAAGAAACTGCTGGGTCTCTTCTGCTTTTCACAACTTTGCCTTGATGTACCAGTGGCACTGGTAGGGTTTCATCGCAACTGTAAGGTTGATGAACGGTTTGACAGTGCACGGATATGTAGCAGCTGTTGTGATATCAGTGTGGGTATTGGTTGTATATCTCTCTGGGTAAATAGTAGTTGCCTTCGAAAAGAATACAGCAAGTGTATGTGTACCTTTACCGTCTTGTCTAATTTGGTTTTGAATTTGGACCTGACGAGAGCCCCCATGCAAGTATCAGGTTCTGTTGTGATGGTACCTTCTGTGAATATGCTTGGTGACTTAACTGTCACAGTGGCATGGAGACTGGAATTCCTTCTCCATGAACCTGTTTGATATAGTTGATGAAGGGTTAGCCTTTATGCTCTTCTTTTCTATTATGACCAATACCCAGCAAAAAAAATGTCAGCAAGATCAAAAGAAAATTGCAAAGAAATCCTGAACTTATTATTCTTATGAACTGTCATGTGACTCGCTACGGGCCAGCTTGCGATTCAAGATGGCAACGGGTACCCGAGTACCCGACGGGTTTTACCCGATAAGGAGGCGGGTATGAAAGACATTTTGCACCCGCGGGTACGTTATTGGACGAATTCTTATACCCATCGGGTATGCGGGTACGGGTGTGGGTGTATACTACCCATACCCGCATACCTGCGGGTAAAAAAAACCCGCATAAATAATATCCAACCTCTGTAATTTTAGGCCATATAAGCATATAGCCCATATTTGGCCCATATAAGCATATGAGTATATATATTCTAGAACTCCCTCAAACCCTAATCATCATCCTCACTCCACTCCACCAGCCCATATTTCTGTTTTGCTGCTCTATTGTTGATTTGTTTTGCTGGAAGCTATTATATTTTGATGTGTGAACTCGGGTATATTGTCGGGTAAGAATTACCCGTCGGGTGCGGGTATGGAATAAATTTTCTACCCGTCTGCGGGTACGGGTAACCCGACGGGTAAAATTTTGATCTGGCGGGTGCGGGTACGGGTGGCCAGTACCCATCGGGTACGTACCCGTTGCCATCTTGACTTGCGATGTAGTTGCCTCTGCCCAAGCATTTTGGCCCTTATCTGGGCGGACACAGATTGGGTAACTTTGCTATGGAAAGTCACCAGGTAACTTTGCCAACTTTGCCATCATCTCCAGCGTTGATATGCTTCCAAGCAAAAACGAAACCAACACTTAGCCATTTTTGGCTCGTGACCTATGCTCCAGTGATTCTGATCTTCAACAGGACGTAAAAACGTTCTGAAAAGAGAGATAAATCCAGGAAACTGGGAGCATTTTGTGTGACAAGGCAAAGAGATAAACCTACTGATAATATAAATTCAGTTTCAGAATAATCCCTTGTTTTCCTGGGGAATGGGGACGGGACGTTTTTCTTTTCTTTTTGGAGAAACCCGTGGTGCAGAAGCGGATGAGGAAGTAGTGTAGGAGAGCTACCCTCGCTTCCCACCTCCAGTGTCTCATCCATTCCACAGACAAACACATCTCTTTCCCTGCACTTCCATGGACAAATAATTCCGGTCGCTTTGTCTATACATGCAGAAGCTCCAAGAGTGAGCACCTCATCTCTTATATTACTCTCACCTCCATCACACCATCCATATCTTGCTCCCTCTGGTCTGGTCTCCACACGCTTTGTCTGTTCTGCTGCTAGGTAACAAGAGGCTAGCTAGCTCCCGTTTCTTCTCTTCCTTCAGATGAAGCCTGCTGCTGCGTCTGGCTAGCTGCAAGCATTCACGCGCTTCCGATCCTCCGCTGTCTCAGACTGTAGTAGTAACTGGTTTGGCTCCTTGTTGTGCAGTTGAAGAAGAAGCAGGGCAGGTGCGAAGAGCCTGCCGGATCGGCGACGCCAGCATGGGGGAGATCACCAATGTCATGGAGTACCAGGCCATCGCGAAGCAGAAGCTTCCGAAGATGGCCTATGACTACTACGCGTCCGGCGCTGAGGACGAGTGGACGCTGCAGGAGAACAGGGAGGCCTTCTCCAGGATCCTGTGAGCTCCATCTCCTTCTTCACTGACTTTTGCTATCCTATATTCGTCCTATGCTTCAGCCTTCAGAGGTAGGAGCAGCACTGCAGCTGTTCTTGAGATAAGATAACCATGACAGTTAATAAATTAGAAGGTGGGGAAAAACCGAAAAAGGGCCATAACCCATAAGAGTTATGTTCATTGATCAGGCTCTACTATTCTTTCAGTTGCTTACTTATCTATTTAGGGTGGAAGTGGAACTTTTGTAAAAGTTTATTTGTAAAACATGTGCTTCGCTACTGTTATCTTCATTTGATAAAACAAACTGTGTAGCGGGGGTTCGACAATTCACTGTTTTAGTCATCAGCTCAAGTTCATCCTAAAGCTACAACTTTGGTAGCAAAGGAAAAGGACAGCTAGCCTAAGTTTTCTCAGTCAGTTTTCATGCTATCTGTACTATGGAATTTTTTTGTCATTCATCATACTGAAAGTCTTGTCAAAGCCATTCATTGCAAATGTCCCAAGGGTGCTAACATTTGAAGGACACAAATAAACGGCACTCCTCTTATTGCACAGTTGGTTGTTCAACAAGTTTTCACTCATGCTCTGTTTTGGAACGTCAACTGTTCGAGGTTCCCGTGGGAACCGCACTCTCTTGGCTCTTGGGCTTCCTTCATCCAGATACATACATGGCTTCAGCGCTGCACCATTGCTCATCTGTTGTGAAATCTGTGTTTTCGCAAGGTTCCGTCCACGCATACTGATCGATGTGTCCAAGATCGACATGACCACCACCGTGCTGGGATTCAAGATCTCCATGCCCATCATGGTTGCCCCCACTGCTATGCAGAAGATGGCTCACCCAGATGGTACGCGTTGTAAGATTTTGTTTTGGTTTGGTTTGGTTGACAGCTATATGCTCCACACAACAGAATAACATGTTCAATACTAGTTCTCTACAAAAACATGTTCAATATAGTAACTGACAAGCTTCACCTTCCAACAATCTTGTTAATTCTTCTCGCCTCTCATCCTGCATTTTTTTTCTTTGAGCTGAAACCATCTTTATCCTGCTTCCAGGGGAGTACGCCACTGCACGCGCCGCAGCTGCAGCAGGCACCATAATGGTCTGTACATGTCACAGTTGTTAAAAACAGAATTGTACCATACACAAGACAGAGTGATGTATCTGTGCTGATGATACTGAACATACCTCCATGGCCTTCTCTTTTTCAGACACTGTCATCCTGGGCAACTTCAAGCGTTGAGGAGGTTGCCTCAACTGGGCCAGGGATCCGCTTCTTCCAGCTCTATGTAAATACATTGACACTCCACTACTACTAACATAAGTATCTTCCTTCACCAACTTAGCTTATCAATGGCCATGCATGTGCATTGCCATGAATGTTATGTAGGTCTACAAGGACAGGAAAGTGGTGGAGCAGCTTGTGGGGAGAGCTGAAAGGGCTGGGTTCAAGGCCATCGCGCTCACCGTCGACACCCCGCGCCTTGGCCGCAGAGAAGCTGACATCAAGAACAGGTGAGCTGGGCTGGCTTCACAACAACTATTTGCTTTGCTTCAAAACAGCTGCACGGACTAATGGTGATATTAGTCTAGTACAATGTACTGAAACATCATCAGAAAGATAGTGCTAGAAAAGACGCATACGGCAGGGTATCAGTCAGGGCATGCTGATTGTGGCTGCTATTGCTGCAGATTTGTCCTGCCACCACACCTGACACTGAAGAACTTCGAAGGTCTGGACCTCGGAAAATGGACCAGGTGAAGTACTGAGCTCAAGTTTCAGTGCAGCAACAGTAGTACATTGCACATAGCCTCCGTATGGATATGGAGCTATGGACACTCTCTGATGGAGTTTTGTGTGCGCCCCGAGCATGAGCAGGCTGCTGATTCAGGGCTGGCTTCCTACGTCGCCGGCCAAGTCGACCGCACCCTGAGCTGGAAAGACGTGAAGTGGCTGCAGACCATCACCACGATGCCGATCCTCGTCAAGGGAGTGCTCACGGCTGAAGACAGTAAGAGCTCTCTCTCTCTCTTTCTGTCACCTCACCTCACCTCTCTGCTTCTGCTTGTTTCATCAGACAGTCGCTGAAACACACACACACACACACACACACACACACACAGAGGCAGTGTGGCTAACTGAAGTACCTGATCGATGCTGTGCATGCTGTGGGCTAATATAATGTCGTTGCATTGCATTGCATCGCAGCGAGGCTTGCGGTGGCGAACGGCGCGGCGGGGATCATCGTGTCCAACCACGGCGCGCGGCAGCTGGACTACGTGCCGGCGACCATCAGTGCGCTGGAGGAGGTCGTGAAGGCCGCCCGGGGCCAGATCCCCGTGTTCCTCGACGGCGGCGTCCGCCGCGGCACCGACGTCTTCAAGGCGCTCGCCCTCGGCGCCGCCGGCGTATTCGTAAGCTACCACTGAACAATGAACACGCATACGTTCCTGCTGTCGGGGATTGTTTGTTGCACGGCGGCTGGCTGACCGGTGGATGCATGCGGTTGTTGCAGGTCGGGAGGCCGGTGGTGTTCTCCCTGGCGGCGGCGGGCGAGGCCGGCGTGTCCAACGTCCTGCGGATGCTGCGGGACGAGTTCGAGCTCACCATGGCGCTCAGCGGGTGCACCTCCCTCGCCGACATCACCCGCAACCACGTCATCACCGAGTCGGACAGGCTCCGCGCCATGCCGTCGCGCTTGTAGATGATCAATCAATCAATCAATCACCTGCTACGCTACGCCGCCGGCCGGCCGCCCTCCTCACGAGGCTCGCCGTTGGTCCTCGCCGCCGGCCGGCCAGCCGCGAACGAAGACTTGTCACCCCGGTCGGGGATATTCAGTTCGTGCATGGATTGGATGCATGGATGCTGGATGATGATACTATAATCTTGGACCCCGTATATGTTTCGTTCAAAAATGATCGATCACTGTACAGATTACATACATGGCCGGTGTGGTGCATCTTAATAATGGCGCATGATGATCGCTGTATTTCACAAAACATTTCTTCCACATCTTTATGTGTTGTGAATGAAGAACAAAACAACATTTTGGTTGCCATCAGAAGAACGAATTGAAACCGAACAAACTGTTAAACCCAATCAAATTCCAATCTCGTGGAAAATAAGCAAACTATCTCTTTCTCTTATATAACGAAATAAGAAAATACCCCTCCTGTTCGTTCAAAAAGAAAACGAAATAAGAAAATAAACAAACTATATATATATATACTGTGAGCGATGCGTACATACCCCTCATGTCAACAGAAAAAAATTGAAAAGAGAGCTCTTTTATCTAGCTAGCTATCAGACCAGACGACGACGTCAGCAAGGCCGGGCGGTTTGGTTAATTAGTGCCTCATCGCCTGACAGCCTGAGCGTGGCGGCCGCCGGCGGCGTAGGGCGGCGCGACGGCGGCGGCCGTCCTGGCCTTGCGCTTCTGCAGGAACAGCTGCAGCGACCGCTTCATGGACAGCCCGGTGGCCGCCGCCAGCGGGTCGATCTCGAGCACCGGCGCGGCTACGGCGCCGCCGCCGGCGAAGGCACCCTGCCGAGGTGAACCGACGACGACGCCGGCAGCCAGCAGCGGCGACGGCGCCACTGCCGCCGGTCTGACGAGACCTCTGTCGCGCGCGCACCGCCGCGCCACGGCGCTAGTGCTGCTGCTGCTGCTGTCATCGTCACCGTCCTGCTGGCGGCGGCGGCCGTTGTCGTCGTCTCCCCGCATCAGCTGCTGACTCTGTCGCCGGTGGTCGGCCGCCAGGGTCTCCTCGCTCGCCATGGATATGATCGCCCTTGCCTGATGCGCCGAACAGCAGCAAAATCGTACACACCGATCAGTAACTTGAAGCAGTAATTACACGTGTTCAATTTAATTAACTATTAACCAGAGTTGAACTAATGCTGGAAGCCTGAAATGCATAAATAAATCGATCAAGACGACGTGCGTGCATGCTGTTGCAGAAATTGACGTGCATCCGGATCCGGAGTTCCGGACCATACACGGGCAGTACGTCGTCAGTCGTCGAAGTCAAAAAGAAGGCACGGTTTTTTTTTTCTCTCCATCTCCCCGTGTTGGTTCTGTGCGAGTTCGTCGCTCGCGTTGTTTGCGTGTGTGGAGATAGACAGATGGAGACGACGACGACGACGAGACGAAGACAATTTATGGAGGCCAAGTCTAATTACGATTGAGTGTTGATTGTGGTTAATTACGGTGTTATTTGGTGAACGGCCCCCATCCACCAGCTGACGATATGGCGCGAATGTCCCCCCCGATTTGGCGCAGCACGTGCGGAATTGTTTTGTGAGAATTTTCGACGGTGACCGAGCCATGTTAGCTGCAACGAGCCAACGACTGAGACCTCGATCGGAGTCAAATCACCTAGCTCAGGCGTTCAGTTTCCTTGGATTTTTATGGAACTTGTATGCTGGGTAAAAATTCTTGACACAACACATATGCTCGTATTTTTATAAATTTATTCTATATTTCTACTTATAGCATAGGTGCTCATATTTTAATAGACTTATTCTGCTCCCTGTTTATTCAAAATTGTAAGTTATTCTGATTTTTTTAGACATATTGCTTTTACTATGTGTATGTATCTAGACATAATATATATCTATGTGCATAACAAAAACTATGTATTATGCAAAATTGGAACGACTTACAATTTGGCATAGAGAGTATAATTTAACATCACTATTGTTTTTTTAGTGGTAAGAGGTGTGCCCATTGACAATGAGTCGAGTGCATGGTGGATTTGTCAATTTTAACATATGTTGGCTCAAATTTTCAGAGGTGCTCATATAAATGGTGCGTGCGTGCATTTATAGAGGTGGGGATGTGTGCATGTGCATAGTACGTGCGCCATTACTATTTTTACAAAAAGAAATCTCCTAACTCAGCCTACTTCAATACCAGATTAACCTGTTGGTGTCCAAAAACATGTGGGTTGATCTGAACACTAGTACTTGGGAGATTTAAGTCACCCTGTTGGTGTCCAAAAACATGTGGGTTGATCTGAACACTAGTACTTGGGAGATTTAAGTCACCCTTTTTCTTTGAAGATGTAATCTTTCTTCTTTTTTGTTTTAGGGTATCTGTTTTAATTAATTTCTAGTGTTTGCTAATTGCAACAGACCATTCTTCTTTTTATTACCAATATAATATAGTAATAATGCAGCAGTATGTATATAGGTTGATCAAAAAATTAGTACGTGCTGAACGAAAATAACAGAACCAACACGTACAGAGGTCATCCAATTTACTACTTGTAACATCCAAAGGTTGTAGAAGTATTTACTGAACTGAACTACATGGTCACGCCTTGGATGAAGTAATTAATTAAAGGCAAATTGCAGATGATCGAGTTGTGTGACGACTGTTTTTATTTTACAAAACCAGCACAAACTTAGTACTAGTAGCTAATATAATGCACGTTTCCTATATATCAGTCGACCGAAATGCTTCGTTTGTTCAGGCGACGGCTCATCCGTCTGATCTTATGCCGTAGACCCGTAGCTTGTGCTGGTGATGATGTATTCTTTTTATTGGCCAGCTTTACCTATCAGATCTTTATCCAAACACGCTAGCTGTAGCAGAACACTGGATTTATCAGCTTCCTCGTTTTCTCCCTCTTCTATTTTTTTTCAATCATCTTGTAATCTGTCCTCTTGTGATTTGTTAATTGTTTTTGTGTTATAACATATTATTTTTTTGTCCTCGTCTAATTATAGAAAAAAATTGTGAATTGTCTTTGTGTTAATATATATTAGATTTGTCAGGTTTGTGATTCTATCTATCAAGTTTTTTATTCTCAGATCCTAAAATTGCAGATTATATCAACAAAAATTACAACAAACTAAAACTACAAATTTAACATAAAATATGTGTAATAACCATCACCTGAAAAAAAAACTAAAATTCAAGTGCCTGAATTTTAGCAACTCCCAATATAATGGTAGCAAGATGACGAGTTCATGCGAATTTCGTGATTCCGGGTGTATACCAAGAATAACGACTGCATGCCGTGCGTGCGTACGACATAGCAGAGACTTGAGAGAGCAGCAAGCTAGCTTGTTGCAAATTAAAACATGCAGATTAATTGTTATCGCATCAGGTGGGATCGCCAACTGATACTGAATTACTGATCCATGAGCTGTTGAAGGAATGGATTAACCAGGAGAGGCCGGACAAAGCTTACGCGTGGTAGCAGTAGTGGTGATTAAAGGATTACCTGGACCTCGGTGACGTCGACGGCGCACACCCGGCCGTTGTAGAAGATGGTCAGGTTCCTCCTCGCCTCCGCCGCCGCCCCCACCACCGTCGGCGGAGCACTAGCGGCACCACCATCGTCGTCGTCCGCCGCCCCCGTCCTGAGGCGCAGCCTGAGCTCGACGCCGCCGCCGCCGCCGTCACTGCTCCCGTGATTACTCTCGTCGTCATCACCGCATCCGGCGCCGCGCCACCGCCGTCGTTCCTGCCCCGCCGCCGCTCCGGCGACGCCACCGTCGCAGTCCCTCCCGCCCTCCATCACTAGCTCTAGCTAGCAACCAGCTGATCCTCCTCTCGACGATCGACTAGGCAGATGGAGCCAACAAGCCTTCATCAGTTGGTCGTCTCCTTCTTCCTCTGGTCTGGCCCGCGCGCGCGCGTATAAGTACTCCTCCTCCCTCCCCCTGCTCTCGACTCAACTCGGTCACCGGCAAACGTTTTTGTCACGGCGCGCAGCCGCGCACGTGGAGAACGTGCGCGCGCGCCCGAGGGAGACGGCGCGCGCGCGGGCTGCCTGCCGGCCTGGCCTGGCCGCGCGGGGCCGCCTAGTGCGCTGCGGCAGGCGGTGGGGGTGTGCCTTCCTCTCCTTTTTGGTGTCTCTTTCTTTCTTTGCTTTTCCCGTTTATTTCAACGTGCAGCGGCTGGTTTCTGCGAGCGATTTCCATGCTCCATTTCGTCCAAACCACACACAGACACAGAGGCTAATCCGAATCAAAACCAAAGACTTGACCGCTCGCTAATTAATTACAAACGTGCGTTTTCCTCTCTCCATATTATTTCGCCTCCCTTTCTTTTTACTGTCGGCAGGAAGACGCACGCAGACATGCACATGCATGTGTGTGTGTGTGTTTTTTCTTTTGCCTCTGTATGTATCTGTGGTCATGGGGTTTAGCGACGTAAAGTCACACGTGTCGTGACCTGAATGGGTGGATTACAGTTGGTTGGTTGGTAGTATTTGGTAACAGGCACATGCAAGATAATTAAACGCGTTCTGTGTTCTTTTTCGGATCTACATATATATTTTTTGGGGAAAAAACAAAAAAGAATGGACGCCTCTGCTCCTGTTGAGCGCACGGGGACCACCGTCACTGACTCCTGTATACATACGTGCCCATCACGTTTAGCCGGCGAGGACCATTTTTTAGTTAAGATGAGACTGCTTTTGATTCATTTGATTTATTTCCGGCCGACGTGCAGTGCCCATGTCGCGGAATCTGATGCCTGGGGCTCAAAAATGATGTCATTCCTCAACAAGCAAGTCAATCTGCACAAAAAAGTCGTGTGAAATAAATAAAGCCAATTAAAAAGTCCAAAGTCCGCCATGAATAATGTTGAAAGCGAGATTACCTCGTGTATTTATTGCTCGACGGGAAAATGTGTCGTCCGTCTCCGGTTATATGTTGAAATTCAAAGAATAACATTGGAACAAGTTTCATGCACCAACAAGTTCGATTAAAATCTTGGCGAGTTGAGGCGGTTCACATACTCCTACATACCCACGTTTTTAATTTGGCTCTCCTGCAAACACCCGGACCAGCAAAGCTTGTTTTGTTTTGAACATTTGATTAAAAATCAAGGTGCCCGTTTGGCAACCAGAAACGTTTATGATTATTTTTGCTAGAATCAGTACAATCGCTGCCAGATGAGTCAGGTGAGAAACGTTTCACTTGAGAATCACTAGAAACGTTTCTCGTTTTTATGCATAGCAAGGAAAAATGCGTGTTAGATGGCCTTGTGTGATTCTGAGATTCTTGCCCCCCCCCTTCTGTATTAGCAACCATGATTTTTTAGTTAATTATTTTCAAGTGAAATAAGTTAAAATAGGTTTATTTAAGTTGTTTTTGCCCATAAAAAGTTTGTTGAGGGGAGTCTCCCCCGGCCCAGCTCCTTCCTTGACCTTCGATTCAATGCTGTCTCAACTAACTCCCTCGCGACGGGCATCGACCCTCGCTGGCAAGGGTATGCTCCAACCTTCGAGTGTGTCTTCATGCTTGGGCAGGTACCTCGAGGTCCACCGTACCCGTGGAGCGGGGGAGAGGGGAGCCTCGACGACAACGATGAGCGGACCCACGCCGTGAGTACGCGGAGGTCTGGCGCCCGCCGAGGAGGGGGACCACGCCGGTGGAGGAGACGCCCCCGACCAGAGAGGCGGGCCCGGGGAGTTGGTGGCCAGAGGATGAAGATTACGGCCGTACCCTTCCTCACTACGTTATGTTTTTCCTTTTAGGGCCTTGGCCTACTATAATTTCACCGTGCACCCGAGTGTGACCTATAAATACCCAGGTGGCTCATGTAAGACAGCAGGATCTTTTTTGATAAATTAATGGACACTTGATCCGCATTTTCATGACCCCTCTACCTTTGCTTCCCTACGCCAGATATCCTACTCCAATTACTGCGGGAAACCCTCGGCTTCTCCCCGCGTGCTCGAGCGAGGGTGAGAGGCCAGGAGACCCGACAGTTGGCGCCGTCCGTGGGGACCCCAGTCCGCCACTTCTCAGAACAATGGCAACCACAAGAATAAATGCTAACAGAGATCCGCAACCGCCACGAGGGTCGGATACGGTAGTGGGAACCTCCGTGGGAGGGAGCAACGGAGCCCTGATACTCCAGCCCACCGCCCAACCCACCAAAAGCCAGCGTGGCTCGAACGAGACCCCGACAGCTGGGGGTCAAGCCGGCCATCAACCTAGCCCAACTAGAGTGGAAGATGCCGGCTACGTGCCACAAGAAGATGATGAAGAGGCCGAGGCGAGAGGTCTCGAGGCCCTGAACCAAATGCACGAAGAACTACAAGAAAAAGGCACCGGGTCGAGACCCATCAAAGACAGGCTAGCCTACATGTGATAAGGTAGAAGGCGGACGAAACCAGAGAGCATCTTAGGCAAATGGATGAATACCTAGCCACCATTGAAGCTGACCCAAACTACCTGCCAGAGCAGCACAACATACCACATATGCTCCACCCAAACCCTCCACCTCCATCTCCACCACCCCCGCCACCATCACCACCCCCTCGCCACCATCAAATCTACCCAGAATATATTCCCCAAGCCTTGCAACACCAACGAAGAAACCAACCCCCGCCAATGTCCTACGATCCGAAATCCCCTCTAACCCAAATATTGCAAACCAAAAGCTGGCCGCTTGAATACAAACCACAAAACCTACCAAGATATGATGGAAGCGTGGACCCTCGCCAATTCGTGATGAGCTATGAAGCTGCAGTAGCAGCAGCAGGAGGGGATGAGTTCACCATGGTGAAATCCTTTGTCATCATAGCACGAGACATCGCCCAAAGCTGGTATAGCAATCTTCCCCCCAGGCTCAATAGATTCCTAGGGCAGCCTCCATGAGAAACTATGCAACCACTTCAAAGGTGTCAGCTCCTCAGCAACCAACCCAATGGAACTGTTCACCTGCACTCAAGTCGAACGGGAGCCTCTCCGAGAGTTATGGCAAAGGTTTGTGCAACTCAGAGCCAGAACACTAGATATCACTGACGATATAGTGATCCTTCCGGTAGTCAATGGGGTAAGGCTAGGGCCGTGCTCCTCTAGGCTCCCTAGAAGACCATCGCAGAACTGCACGAAAGTCATGGAGAAGTTCATTAGATCTGACATAGTACACTGCACAAAGATTGATGCTCTCTGACCTTAGGCGCGCCCACCCCCGAGGCCGCCATAGCGCAATCAATACCCTCGCAACGAGGCAATCAATGTGAACGCAATAGAATCTGCACCTCCACAACAGCAAAGACAGCAACAAAATCAAAGACCTCAATCAACCCCCGCTGCCAGTCAGAATGACAACAGAACCAACGTGCAGAACATACCCAACCAAAGAGACGCGGCGAAGGTTTATTGCCACTTTTGTGGGACAGGAAAGGGACACACGACCAAACACTGTGCTTGTTTTGTGAAGGGAAAAGAATACCTAGAGGCCCAGCAAGCTGTAGCCTCAGGCCAGCTGAAGCCTATCAACTACACAAGAAGACAGCCAACCCCCACAGCCAACACATACCATTACACACCTATAAACTACGGCGTACCCTCGCAACAACACCCCCAACAATACCAAACCTTCACAAGCTACAACCCTCCTTACCACCACTATAGCACCTACGACAACCCCCAACCATCTTACAACTACAACAATTGTACCAACAACCATCCATACACAGTCACCCACCCGCCCACTCTACCACAAATGCAAGCCCAGCATCCAGCCTTACCACCGCCACCCCTACCATCACCAACCCAGCTGCACCAACAGCAAGTAAAAACAGAGCCCGCGAACCAGGCCAACCAAACCACAATAAACAATCCAACCGCAACCTTCGGCGTGATACTCGCAATCATCGGAAGATCCAATGAGGACCATGGCAACAAGAGGCAACACAAAGAGCATATGATGCTGGTGCACCACCTCGCTGCCGAAGGACCCCACAAGAATTCGCAATGGTCTCACATCCCAATAACCTTCGACAACTCAGACCTCAAACTAAAAGATTACCCTCACACTGACGTAGTGGTCATCGAGACAAACCTAGCCGGTTGGGCAGTAACAAGAATCCTTGTCGATACAGGCAGCTCCGCCGACATCCTATTCGCATCAACCTTCGACAACATGAAGCTCGACCGTTAGCCACCTTATGGCACGGCACATGGTTCTATCACCCGCGAACAACGAGTTCATGGGGGTGATCGAACACATCATGGAATCCCTCCATAACCTCCTCACAGAGGAGCCGGGATCATCCTCTAGCTCTGACTCTAGCAGGGGGAGCCATCACCCCTCCTGGGAATGCTTCATAATAGGTACCCCCGAAGGACACGTCAAAAGCATCTCCACGGAGGAGGCTACCCCAGTGGGCAACCTCGGAGACAGAACCGAAGGGGAGACAACGGCTCCACCTCGCATGGGGGTGGAGCAGCTGAAAGCCCGAAAGCGAGAGATCGAGGAAGCAGGAATCTAGCTTGTGCAGGAGTGCACGGAGCTCGATCTGGTGATCAAAAATTAGGGAGACAGTGGGCGCGCACGTGCCAGGGCCTGTGATGTAAACCGAAGGATCATCGCCGATGATGAAGCCCTTACTCGCTTCACCCAGGCAAGTCAGAACATCGCTGTCGCGACGGCCTTGCTCCATGGCCTTCCAGAGGCCACGACGCTCAAGGATCGTCAGGCCCACCATGAGATTTTCACGCTACTCGAACGTGCGGCGGCGCAGCAGGCTAAGAGCTCTCTGTCTCGATGATG